CAACAAAAAACCCAGGCTAATGGTTCAATTAAAGAAACGGAAATTAACTTTTTATCTTTTTTATTGGCCTACTTACCAGTATTTTTCATGACTGACGTCAGGCTGCTAAGGATGGAACTGATCTTAGCCAGATCTACATTAGCCAGGTTTGGCAAAGCCAACCCTGGGGAAGGGGATAGAATAGAAGTATTTGCAGGCTTTGGAACAGGTGGGGTTGTTGTCATGGTCACAGGCACTGGGGTACACGGAGAGGCCTTGGAGATACTTTCTGTTGGCTTTGTAGGTACAGAAGTGGATACAGCTGACTTCTCTACAGGTTTTTCCTTCCTGTCCTCCACTGTTTCAACAAAGAAAAGAGATATTACATCCTGCTATTTTCCAGATGTTGCTTCCAATAAGAAATAACATGTCCTAATATTTCCTGATTTGGGGGTAAAAAGCACTCCTCTGGAGAAAACTGCCAACCACTCACTTCATGCTTTTTTTTAAAAAAGTCACACACTTCATAATTTATGACCCCACCTTCAATACCTGCTTAAAAGGAATTTCCAGAATTTATTTTGTATCTTACTTTTTAATGATTCCTTTGCACCTTCTTAGTATTTAAGTATTAAATTTGCACATTTCTGGAGACATGTTATTATTTGGTATGCATTTGTGTTCTGTCTTTTGGGAATAATATTTGTCATACATTGTCCTGCTTTTCCTTTTCCATTACCTGAGAACTTTCTCAGAGACAAGAAAGCACATACTTCATTGTATTTTCCTTTGGCTTCCTGAAATTGCCCTAGTGCGTGATACAATTAGGCATTGATTTGAAACTGCAATGTTTTAACTCTTGATCACTTTTGCAATATATTCCTTTTGATGATTTAAAGTCTATATGGATAGACAGTGCATTAAATCCAACAGAAGTCAAATTGTCTGAAAAGAATAATTATAAAGGCTGGGGATGTCAGAGAAACAATTCACCAGTTCAGGTTAGTTCTGATAGTGTGGTTAACAAACTGTGGCTTTGGAATTCTTGACAGTCAAGAGTGACAGACAGTAAGGAATGCCAGTATAACTCTCCCCTATCCCCAGTAGTGCTGTCCAATAGAAATATAATTTAATCCATATATGTAAGGTTAATTTTTCTTGAAACCATTTAAAAAGAAACAGATACAT